CCTGGTGAGGGAGTCAGGGGGGAGGGAAAGGGGGGATCATCTGTAATACTCTCAACAGTAAAGATAAAAACATTAATTAAAAAAAAGAATAACAGCTAATTAGGGATAGGATATAATCAGATTTGTATTTTGTAAGTTTGCTGGGAGCACATTATTGAACCTGGGCTGGAAGGGGAAAGCTAGAGAAAGCCTAGTTAGGAAGCTATTGCAGTTTTCAAGCAAATGACAGGATAGTTTGCACAGGGATGGTGGCAGCGGGGAAGGACAGGGGACAGATTCCAGAGGCCTCGGAGGCAGAACGCACGAAACTTGGCGACTGACTGAAGGTGGAAGAGGCAGAGGGAGGAGATGAGGAATGGAAGCCCGGCCGGATTTGTTTGCTGGGCGTTAGGATGCCTTTCCCGGGTGTCAGAGTGAGAAGCGGCAGAGGATGAGCTTGGACACACTGAGCTTGGTGCCCGGGAGGCCTTTAAACAGAAACATTCTACAGAAGGTAGGCGGGTGCAGGATGGGGGTTCAGTACGAGCTGGGGATACATTTGGAAGGTTATCAGCGTAGAAATAAATGACAACTGGAGACATAAGGATCTCCCGAGGGGACCAGGGAATGCGCGGGCAGAGTGGGTAAGTGGGAGGAGGCATGGCGTCATGGGATTCTGGGGCACTGGAGAGATTCTGGAGGCTGAAGTTGAGACTGTCAAGTTCACTGTAGGATAAATGATCACTTTCCACTCACACGTCTCAGGAGAGGCACTGAGTAAATGAATGTAAGAGAGGGGTCTGACCCGACACGGGATTGCTTCTTGTCACGTCTAGGAGGGGCGCCCCAGCTGCTCCTGCACACCTGGCTAGCGGGGCGCAGGAAGAGCCCGCAGGCTCGTGGAGCTGGACAGCTCAGGGTGCCCGCTGGGAGAGGCACGGCTACCCTGGGCAAACATGATTCTCCAAGTTAGACATTTACAAATATTGCCTCTGGCTATCGTGCCTGCCCTTGACTGCTAGGAAAACACCTGAGTCATGAGGCTGTGTGTTGGGTATAGGAAGGTGGGGTGTGTGGAAGGCCTTTGTTCTTCCGTACATACACAAGGCAGTGTTTCTGGCACATTTTTTGTGACTTGGCTTGGGCCAGAGCCTGTAAATACAGGGGGCACAGATTTTTTTTAAAGGTCCTACCTTCTAGGAAATTATTTAATAAAGACCTAATAGACATTTTTAAATCCAGCATCTCAGGAACAATGCATAATGTAGCTGTAAACAATGTAGTTTGATATAAATTGTATAAAAATGAGTTAAAACAGCCAAAAACCAAACCAAACCTCACCTGTGTTTCTAGCCACAGTGCTCTCATTCTCTTTCAGATGAGACCAGCGGGATCTGTAACGCCATCACCATCCCCCCCGCCAAACCATATCCAAGCGCTTGTAGCAAGTCCTCACAGTTTTACTGGCCCAGGTCCCCTCTGCTCCTAGAAAGCAGGAGGGCGCATGCTGGCTCGCTGCTGCCACCAGGAGGGAGAGTGTGAGAAGGCAACGCTTCTCCCTTCTGCAGGCATGAAACCAAATAGAGAAGTAGCAAAGCTTTCCCGTTTTATTTTTATTTTTTAAATATGTTTTCATTGATTTTAGAGAAAGGAAGGGAGAGAGATAGAAACATCAACGATGAAAGAATCATCGATCAGCTGCCTCCTGCATGCCCCCTGCTGGGGATCGAGCTCCAAATCCCGGCATGTGCCTTGACTGGGAATGGAACAGTGACCTCCAGGTTCATGGGTCAACGCTCAACCACTGAGCCACACTGGCCTGGCAAAGCTTTCCCTTTTTAAATTCTTTTCTTTTTTCCTTCTTTTCCTCACTTCCTCTCATTTTTTTTCTTTCACTTTGCTCTTTTTTTGTTGTTGAGGGAAGTGAATAAACATTTTCATACACTGCAAACATACAGCGTTACCATCTGAACGATGTCTCCTTTCAAATTCACCAGGGGTTTAATTTTGTGTTCCCCCATACTGAGCAAGGAAGAGGGGAATATTTCCCACTATTTTACCAGCTATGATTGAGGATATATTGTAAGGCTCTTAGAGCCTAATGAGACACAGAGCTGGGTGCCTTCAGAAGTTAAGATAATCTCTTTTAAACAACCTATCTGTTTTTAACGTTAGAATACGCCTTAATGCTTTTTAAACATCCTGCTTTGCAGACTTGACAATCGAACCCAGTATGTTTAAAATGTCAAACCGTAGTGCTAATCCACTCTCACACATGATGTGGTGTTCATTAGCGAGCAATCACATTCCCCACTAGAGGATCATCTTAATGATGCTCTGAAAGAAGCAACGACTAGGGTGAATGAAATAAAATGCAGAACAACCTTCCATTTTTGCAAGTGTTTGCCTTTGCACAGCAGGAAGAACCTGGTTTTTATTCAGCTCCTGCGAAGCCTGGAGTGTATTTCTGCCCACGAAGGTTTACATGGACTTCATTCATCTCACATCTCGGCTTGGGACCCCATATACCTGAGGCTTTTCAGCCGGAGCACAACTGGAGAAGACTCAGTTTCCAGAACTGGTTTTTGCTAGTGTATCTTATGTGAAGATCTAAACTGGGGAAATGGTTTCCCCACCCAGCTCTGGTGTTGGCATAGAATCCAAGAGAGACAAAAGGAAAAGGGATGTGCTCTTACCATTGTCATTTCCTTGCCGGATCTCCTCCGCTGTCCGGTCTATTAATACGTACAAGGACCAGACCACACAGGTGATGGCGATGACATGGAAGGTGACAGAGCAGAAGATTTTCCTCCTCTCACTCGTGGTCATCTGTAGTTTCTCCCACTGCAATCATAAACAAATCGCACAAAACTGAATTTCTAACTAGGAAATTTGGCCCCCCATTTATATCCCATGCAAAGGCCAGGAATGGAGGGAAAACATTAAGTGTTTGCCATGGGAGAGGGCACCAATATTCAAATAAGTCTTCATGTGTAGAAAGATTTGAAATCATAACCTGTGGCATTATAGATTACTTGAATAATACTAAAATGAAAACGATACTTTCCTGTTCTCCAAATGAATTAAATCGAGCCATTTCTGTTTTGCTGGCCTGGCCTATAGTTCCCTTGTCCGTAACATGAATGGGATAGGTGTAATATTGTACAATTTTTAGAAAACATTTCCTTTCAGGTTTCGGCAGCTCACTTCTTTGTGGTACTAGGTTATAAGAAGTGATAAGTAATCTCTTCTTGGATGAACACATAACCTGATACAGTGTTGCATTTTTCAATGTATAAATCTAACAAAATATTTGAATGGCTGGATATCTGGGAGAAGCCAACATGGGTTCCCAAGTCTTCTTCCAGGAAACACCAATTTTATTACCTGAGCAATATGAGACCACCAGCCGAGGCCCCTGTTTAGATTTGCTGCTCCCACTATCACAATGGCTGTCCCTCAGGCACCCTCCACCCGGGAGCGGAGGAGGGCCGTGGTTGTGAGAGTCCCCATGAAGGTTTATGTGAGGGCATGTGTCCATGATTAACTTTGAAGAAGTCGACTCTCCGATGAAATTGCAATGCTCGCACAACTAGAGTATCACTTCATTTCTGTGCTAGGAACGGCGTCTTTATTTTTCTTCGCATTCTTTCTATAGAAAAACCTAATCACTATGATGTTATTAGAGGTGGCTTCATGTGCTAAGCTTTCAATAACTGGTGATTCTTTGTATCCTTTACTTACAATGCTCTTGTTAAAGCAAAATCTTTATAACTTCAAAGACCCCACCCCACCCCACCCCCACATAAAATTCCATGCACCACTCAATTGAAAACAAGAGGGCCACTCATTGTGCATATAAAGCCTGGCTCTGAGGCAGGCGTGAGGTCCTTTAATCTCTCTGGGCCCGCTGGCCTCATGGCAAGAAGCAGGCTGTGGCCGGGGCTGCGGCAGGGCGCTTTGGGGAGAGGATGCCACCCGTTGCTTCTTTTATTAACAGACTAGTAATTCTCCCAGGGTCGCCTCGTGCCCAGCGAGAAGCTGCTTTCCAACCTTCCTTGGCAGCGGTGGACACTGGCTGCCTTCCAACAATGAGGCACGAGCGGCCGTCTACTGCGATAGCGAGTTTTTACCGTCCGGATTTTTCATCAAACTACATTTTACATAGTGGTCCCAGGAATTGATGGAGAGATCTTGGTCACGGGGCTAGGAGAAAACCACACGCGTCAATGTAGAATCTATTTGTAATGAACCGATATTGAATTGAGGATATTTTAGGATGTGTATCTTGGCTTTTATCAAAACTTCCCATATCTGTGAAAGCCTGATTTTTAAAATTTTATTTTGTTACAGATTTATTGTAATGTTAACCTGAATATTCTGTTTCATTATAGAAGAGGCTATCATTTGGCGATAGCATTTTGTGATTTAATAACTATTTCTTGAATTACTCAATATTCAATATGACCAAACACAGTGCAGGACGGCACCCAAAAGCAGTTTGACACGTTCCGATTTTCTAAATGTACCGAGTGGATGGGAATGCCGTCAGGAACTAGATATGCCTGTCAAATCAACCCTCAATTGTAAAACCGGTTTCAGGAAAAAAACCCTTAAAAATTGGATCTTCTTAAATCTGAGGAGCATTTTGCTGCAGTGGCTGAAACACATTCTTCCAAATTAATGAGCCTCAAATAGAAAAATATAGGGGGGGGCTGACAAGGACGGACCAAGTCAAGTAAAAACTCCTAGCTCCAGACAATAGAAATGCTGAAGTTGTCCTTTCCTGATCTCAGGTATATTTTAAAAAGCAAAGTGTAAAGGGACCATCTGACTTTCCTGCTCCCTCACGGGGACTCTCCAGGAACTCAGTGGCCAGCGCACAGGGAAATGTGGAGCCACGGCGCCCTCTCCTGCACAATCACATCACCGCAGGTAATCGTCAGCACCAGGCAGGGCCAGAAATCAATGTACAGTAAAACCCCCATATAAAGGACTAACTCGGGCGAGGGGATGTCCTTTAAAGCCCAAAGTCCATTAGATAATAAAGTAGGTGTTCAGAATGCATATGTTAAAAAATTGACAAATTAGTTAACCTGTTTTTACTTATGAAGACATGTTTGTGTAATTAAAATTAAGTATGTATGAAAAGCTTAATTTCACAGAAAAGTTTTCTATATGTATTACAGTAATTTTAAATCTATACTGAATAGGTCTAGAAACGCCTGCATTCACCAGTGACTAAGAGTAAACAAACGCACACGGCTGGGCATGGCTTAGCGCACATCAGGACACAGGCCGCCCAGGTTAAAACTGCTGCAGAAAGTCACGCCACGGGCAAGACAGCCAATTACCGTGCGTGATGTGGTGTGGCCATGTGCTAATCTTCCGGCTGATCATTCCCCAAACATTATCAGTGGTGACTCTTGGATTTAAACATGTAGACCCCAGTTGTAGTAGATATGTAATATTTATTTATGTTGGTGAAATGACAAGTGTTAAAAATAACAGTGAATTAGTAACAAAAAAATAACCTGTTAATTTAGTTATAAGCAAATATTGGTTAAAAGCATTTTAAAATTAACAGGGTGTTAATTTTCTCATATGACACATGGACCGGAAATTTTGTCTGTTAAATCTGTGGTCTGTTAAACTGAGGTCTCCAAAATCAAGGCTTTCCTGTGTTTTATGAAATGTTCATCCATATCCTTGCATTTTCAGGTTGACATACAAAGTGTGACCACGTTTTACAAGCCTTCACAGTGAGGAATGGATCGAGAAGGCGAGGACAGACATTTTATGTAACAAAGCTGACATGAAAAGGCTGTAGTTTAATATTTGGGATGCTGACATTCAATACCAGTTCACAAAAGATTTTGTGATAGGCGAGTGATAATGCGCACATAAGCATTTGTGGTCTCCTGCCTGGATTTATAAAATACTGTGCGCTTATGCCACGTGACCAAGTGTGTAATATTTACCCTGTGACCCCTCTAGAGGCGGGTGTTTGAGAGAGAGCCTTGGCGGCAGGCCGTCAGCATCACCTGACCCTTGTGAGAGATGCAAATTCTCACGCTGCGCTTTGCAGTGGCGCTCTGCTGGCTCCGCCGGGGAGCTGATGCAGCACAGCTCTCTGCCAAGGCGGCGACCTTTTCATCCTGCCACTACAGGGCGCCAGGCCACTGCCTTCCTATGTAGGACCTTCCTTCCTTCCTTCCTTCCTTCCTTCCTTCCTTCCTTCCTTCCTTCCTTCCTTCCTTCCTTCCTTCCT